GCGTCCCGCTCCTTCTTGGCCGCGAGGGCCTTTTTGCGGAGCTCCTTGTCGTGCGAGTAAGGGCACGCGTCCCCTTTTGGGCAGTTCCCGTGGTCGCGGAAATGGAAACAGATAGGCTTACCTTTTCCATTTCCTTTCGGACCAGCGGCAAGCGTGGAAGAGGCGGCCGCCTTGGCCGCGGCCTTAGAAGCCTTGAGCTCCGTCCTCAGCTTCTCGACCTCCTTCCGCGCGGCGGACAGGGCTGGGTCTTCCGTCGAACCTGCGTACACGCTATTAGCCGTCACCCGATGCGCAGCCTCACGCTGCTCATATTCGAGGACGACCTTATGCGCTTCTTCCCAGGTCGAAGGGCCTCGAAGCCCTGCGGATGCGCCGTCGCTAGGCCACAACCGCTTATCACCGCGGATCTCCTTCTGGAGATGTGGAGGCATCTTGCGCAAGTAGCTTAGGAAGAGCTCCCTCGCTGTCTTGCCAAGACCCACACTCTCCAGCTCCGCGATGGAGGCCTCAAACAGGGGCTCGAACTGGTGCCCTGTGAGACGGCCCTTAGTGAGGGCGACGTGCTCCGCGTCCACCCTCATCTCCTTCTCTTCTCGGCTCTCGCCGAAGACAAGGTGCCGCTGCTTGATCCTTTCGTAAACGGCTTGGGGATTCTCAGTAACTTCCCCGGTCTTGGAGGCAGCCTTGTACACGTTAGTAAAGGTCTTAAGCCTCGAGCCGCGGCAGCGAGCACGAAGGGCGATGAGTTTCTCCCGGAAATTCATCCCCTTGCAGTTGTTGGCAAGGCCACAGACGTCCTCGAACTCTTCGTAGAACTGGACCACGTCCCGGATGTCGGAGCGATCGTCGGTGAGCGAGGGCCATTGGAGGTCCGTCTTCACGGTCGTGATCGACGTCTGACCTCCGCGAGACGCCAAGGCCTCCTTGAGCGCCTCGGTCTGGGCCGCCAAAGCTGCAGCGAGCTCTCCGGCTCCGCCGCTGGCGGAGTGAGGCTCGCCGGGCTTATCCTTCTTAAGCCCTTCGAGCTCTATCTCCAGAGCCGCAAGGCGGGACTTCAGGGGTGAGTCCCCCGGACCAGGTTGCGGATCCTCAGGGATCGCGAGCTGAAGGTCCACCGGGAGAGGCGCCGGTGCTCCGGACTTAGAGCCCGACTCCGCAACGGCGCCCGTCCGGGCCGCCAGGGCCGGGACAGAAGAAGGAGTGCTCCAAACCTTCTCGGGATCGCCGCTGCTCTTGCCTCCCAGGGCCAAGATCAGCTCGCCGAGGCACGAGATCTCCTTCTCGACCTCCTCTCGGTCTTCCGACCCCAGAGAAACCGCGGCAACGGTAAACCTGGTGCGCAGGGCCCGCACCATCCTGGCAGGGTGCCAGTCACCTCCCATTTTGCCGTATTCCTCGGCAAGGATGGTGGCCTTGGTAGTGATCTTCTCAAGATCCTCCACCGTGACCTCTGCCTGGTGCGCCTTCAAGGCCACAACCAGCCTTGAAACCCGCGTCAGGGAATCCGCGACCGGTTCCTGGTCGGGACGGTAGAGCTCCCGCAGGTCCGCCTGCAGGGTCTCCGCCGTGACGGGACCACCCGTCCCAGCAGACGAGGGAGGCCCGGAACGGGCCGGGCCGCCGGCCACCGGCGAGAGAGCAAGCGCACCAACACGGCGCGCCGTCCCGGCCACGTCCGCCGGCGCAGCGGCAGGACGCGGAGCCGGTACCCCGGCCTCCGGCAGAAGCTCTTCAGAGCTGGGGCCCGGATCGCCATCCTGAGCACCCGGGCCCGCTTCCGCAGCTGGAGCTTCCTCATCTTCCTCTTCATCTTCTTCCTCTTCCTCTGCGGCATCGAAGTTGTCGTAGAGGAATTCCATCGTCTCCTTCCACAGACGCTGTTCATCTGCTAGCGTCGTGGATCGTCCGTCCTTCTTCTTGGTGGGACGGGACCCCGTTTCCTTACGCCAACGGAGCCAGTACATAAAGGGCATCTTCTCCGGGTACTCCACTGACCCATCCTCGCTGCACCTCAGCAACGTGGCTCCTTCCGGCTGACCTGCGACCTCAGCGCTCATGGTCGCCTAGCGAAGGAGAGAGCCCCGTGCCACACAGGACCACGGCCTCAAGGCGCACGACAAGCGCGCCTTCGAGGCCACGTTAAAAGATTGCGGCGCAGCAGACGCCTGGGTGGCCGTTTCCCAGAACAGCCCCCAATTGTGGAGAACGGAAACCCAAAGGGGCAGCACGCACCCTCGTTTTCCGTCCAAGCAGAAAGTCCAACGACCGTGACAGGTCGAACGTCCGCCCCGGACGGGCTGCGCGCAATTGCGTCGCGGCAACGAGAAGCTACCAACGACACACTGCCGTGCTCACTTGAGCCAAAAATGTTATGAATACGAATTACAGAAGAGCATGCATAAAAGCATACAGCACAACAGCCAGCCCGCAGACTATGTACAGTTACAACTACTACTACTACTACTACTTACTACTACTACTCCCACTACTACTACGAGTA